TTGAACTTCTGTTATTGACATCGTCCTGATGTAGGTTTGCAGAATTTTCGTTCTTTCTTCTTTGCTGTAGCGAATCATGATGAAAATTTAAGGCTTGATAATTAAACACAAATTTAGCAAGCTATACAGGATAATGACGTAACTATGATACAATATTACCATGAAAATGTTCTTCTTTTAAATAAAACAAGTTTCAACTTCATAACGTTCTTAGTTTTTTATTTATTAACAAATTAAAAGGGTTACTTAATTCTGAAACACCATGTATACTACGTAAAAACATTATTTTGCATTCTCCTTTATATTTTAGATTTATTTCCGAATTGTGCCGTACTTTCTCGCGCACCAATATCATTTATTGATATAATTTTTACGGTAATATTTAAATATAGTGAGTAACCCACGCAGTAAGCCACGAGTGCTCCAACTTTCTGCAAGTATTGCGCTAATAAAGGCTCATAGCAGAAAAGTTATGCTATGGAGCACTTAACCACTAGCTAACTATTATCAGCTAATAACCTCCCATAAGCAACAAATGATTAGGCTGGCAGCGGCATTGAGTGCCCTGGCGCTGCCTTATGCCCTCAGGTCATTGGAAGCTCTAATGGAAACATCACAACAAAGTTTGAGGACGATCTTTCTCGCTAATTGATGACTCAACTTTCCCTCTTGAAACAGTCGCTTTGAGTGCGTCATTATATGACTCGAGATGAGCCATTATTATGGGTGACGTGGATAATCGGTGCTAACTTATATATAATACGATACATAATTGATTATTATCAAAGTAACAATTATTATTATCCAATATCAACCAGAGAAATTAGTGAAATATTGTTTAAATAGCGATGCAATTTTACCCTTGTATGGATCTTATTGACCCGGTTTGGCCTTTGGATCGGGATCCGCTTATCAGTGCTACGCCCGCACTCTGCTCGTGCTCTGTGTCAGAGAGTGTGTCACTATTTGATCAATATGGCCCGTTCATTTATTTGAGTGCAGATTGAGACCCAGACACCTAACTGAGCATATGATATTCTATTGTGAGACTAGCCTTAGCAAAAAATTTTTTCGCTCATTGATTTTATGCATTTATAATCTTGCTAGTAATTCAGTTCGCATTACATAATTATTTACTACTAGAGAGTAATCTGATAATTATCTAGTGCTAGCTATTCCAAGCCATGATAATTTTTCTCACTTATCTAGAATTTTTATGTTTAGACTGAATTATGTGCCATATTAGTGAAGTAAATACATTCCGGTGGTGCAATTTTAAAAATTGCAAAAATTATGCTCAAATTACCTGATTTTTTCCTTAAATATTAGATTTATGAAAAAAATATGCAAATACTTTTTCTGATGTTCGAAGTATATCATTTTTCTTTATATATTGATGCCTTTCCAAATACTTTCCCTTTTATTATAAATGTACACTAATATTTTAATTTATGCGCTTGCTATTAGCGAGCAAGGATTCGTTGATTTAAATTGTCAGAAAGTCGGACAATTCTTCAGATGACGGTTACGCGTATAAATCAGCAAATTCTGCCATCTAAAACTAATATTTTAGCGTATACGAATAGAACGTGATAAGTAAAATTATAGACCTAGAGCATTTCCTACTTAGTTTTACAGTCAAAATCATTGGGCCCAATTTGATATCAAATTAAATCTGAACCAGACGTAAATTCGATTGAGATGTAACTGACTTATAGAGTGTATTGAAATAAAATGATCAATCGGAAGCGATAATGTTTCCAATCAAGATTCAATCTGAGCATCAATCGTCATATATGAAGCGGGACCGAGAAAATTGAGCTCCATATCCGTTGCCGATACTGAACCTCGCTTTTAAATTTCTGAGCTTTTCAAGCAGGCCTACTTTTTTACTTGACACAATTATAAATGATCCGTAAGTTTGAGCCAAAGAAGCCTGCTCGGCCCTCGATATTCTCGCACTGAAAGTCGGACGGCTTCCTTTTATCAACGGATTCCAATATTTCTGGTCCGCCTCAGAAGCTTCTCAGTTCGCCATCTCTACCGTGAAAAAATAGAATTAAACCAGAAACTCTCCCTAAAAATGAAAAAAATTAGTTTTCAGTAGACGTGCTGTAGATAGAAAAAATGCTTCACTAACTAACTTTTAGTTCCCTAGTTTCTAGCGCGTAAAAAGATGAGAGATGAAATTCGTGAATAATATTCGTGTTCGCAACTGATGTTATTTTAAATGCATTTCTATTTCATTTCAATTTTGTGGACCAATTAATTACATAGGAATTTATTATTTAATGCTGGTGAAATAGACCTCTTCAAAAACATTGAATTCTAGACGCAATTTACAAAAATTTAGGATCATTGAGTTACCATACATAACATATTGCAGTCTTTATCACAAAATACTTTAAAACGAATACTTAAGAAGCCAGGTTTCACTTCTGCAACTGATTCTAAAAATTTTTGACGAATAGACTGAGCTGGATATACATATAACCATAAGAATTCTTCGGACTTTACTCACCGCAAAACATAGGTTTCTTTCATGGGAAATGAATTATATTGAATTATAATTGTTTTGCTGTTGCATGCCCCTGACAGTTATAAGTGCAGCTGTTTGCCCAGACTCCGTGATTAAAGCTGCAGGTATTGCGTGCACGTCGTCATTGCTGCTCTTCATGTCACTGCGATGGTTAATGAAGCACATCTTGTACTGCCTTACTTCATGACTTGGTATCATTGCTCTCAGTGCGCGTCTTGACGCCAAACTGAAAGGGTGTGTGTGTGTCAGTAGCTTGGGGGCACACAGGCAGCCATTCACGGGGGACTGCTTTAAACTAAACTGTTCAGAATATCATCCAAACTTAATTTTATTTGTGCAATGAATATTATCAAATACGCTATAAAACTTGCTTATTTTTTCTAAAAAACGGAAATAATAGATGGCTGGTTCGGTATAAATATTCACTGAAATTGGGCTAATTTGGCTTTTAAAAAGCTTTCTATGAGTGAAGTATTGTTACTTTGATAATATTCAATTATGTGTCGTACTATATAAAAGTTAACACCGATAATCCTTATTAGCGATAATATGGATTATTAGCGAATTATCATAAGCGATAATTCGTCCAATATAAATTACTGAAATCATCCAATTATAAATCCGTGAAATAAATTAAATATTTGTTCTAAGTTCCGTGGAGTTTTGGTCCAATTTGCAGAAATTACTCATTTGATGAATGATTACTGAGAAATCACTATACAAAATAAATCTCTCCAAAAAATTGCTCGGTCAGTTTATTAGATTACGTAGGAGTAAATCTTCTCTGTGCAAATTTCTGTATTACTGGTAATTTTTCTGTTATACATATTACTTTTCTAAAGTTTTTATCTAATGATGGAGCTGATCTCCGAAAAGTTCCTACTGATATTGAAGTGAATTTTTAATTTGTTTTATTTTCGGTTAAATAGCGACCTGGAATATGAGTGTCACTAGAGATGTTCTTCGAGCTCGAAAGAAAGACAATCTTGTGAGTTTCTTCGAAGCGCGTTTTTGTGATATGACCTCTCTTATATGACCTCTCTAATATGACCACTGTAATATGGCCCCTCTAATATGACCTCTATAATATGACTTCTCTTATATGACCTCTCTAATATGATCTCTCTAATATGATCTCTCTAATATGACCTTTCTATTATGACCTCTCTTCTATGACCTCTATAATATGACCTCTCTTCTGTCATCACTCTCAATTTATTTCACAATTACTCATAGCTGATGTGGTGTTGTTTAACAGTCATTTTGTATAAGTTTTGAATGTGTTATCATTTGGGATAATTTTTTTCATTGTCATTCTCATTATTATTGTATGCTATAACATTAATTTTATAGCGACATAATACTATAGAAGATGCTGAATCAAATATAGAATCTCATTACTTTAAAACGCAGTCCAAGCTATCGCCCATCATTAAAGCCATCATTGAAATGTAATATTCGTCCATTTTTCTCCAGTGTTATCAAACGTTAATTTTGAATTGTAAAGTTAAAAACAGTGGGGATTACGTCAAAATATGGAAGTTGTTGTGGAGATGATATTTTCATTTTCACTGTTGATGTCATTTTTTATATTCAAGCTAAAGTAATGCAATTTCAATATATTTTCCGGTTATTTTCCAACGCGTTTGTCTCTCGGTCTATCCTCACCAGCCTGTATTCCCTTGCCCGTTGCCTACGTCTAAATTTTCAATTTTTATTTGAATCATTAATTTCAATGGTTCATTGGATCATTAATTTCAATGGTTCATTAATTGGATCATTAATTTCAATGGTTCATTGGACCATTAATTTCAATGGTTCATTGAATCATCAATTTCAATTGTTCATTGAATCATTATTTTTCAATGGTTCATTGAATAATTAATTTCAAGGGTCATTAAAAGATTAATTTCAATTCTTCATTGAAACAATATTTAATAGCTGAAAGAGCAGCTCATTGGAGTGAAGTACCGTCAGCTGAAGCACAAACTGGCTGAGACTTGCCGTTGTTCTTCAAATGACCTCATTGACATGGTGTGACTCACATAAAGTACCTACATTTTATTCCTCTTATTGGAACTTATTGGAACTTATCTTGTCATTGGAACTTATCTTGTCATTTGGCTAGAATAAAATACACCGAGAATTTTACTACCTGAAATTTCGTAAACAATGTAATTTATCTAGCAGCATTTGTAACACTAATTATTTTCTTGACATTATTTTCAGGAATATTTCATTTCCTTGTGCAAGTTGCCTCGGAGTGACAAATGGCCAGGATCACCAAGATTGCAACAGCGGGTTCAGAACCTGCAATTAGCAGTAAAAATTGACTTCGGTTGAAATTAATGAATTGCCAGGTGATTAAGAATTCATGACAACACTATATTATTATAATCAAAGTACAACAATGCCCAATACAAACAAATGTTAAGAAAAAACGCCAGTCAATCATTTTCACGTGTCCATTCTTTCGTGTGAATTCAGACGCCTGAGAGTGAGTCAAATCTTACCAAGAGCTGCGTCACCGCACGTTAGTGTCAAAGCTTCATCAGTTGCCGGTGCAGGTTCTAACTTGTGTTCCAGAACTTTGACCAATTCAAGAACAAATCAACTGAGAACTTTGTTGTCCGCACCAACCGAAGAATAGATGCTTCGCAGCGACCGTCTGCCGCAGCTGCTGCTGCTGCTCTACGCTCCACTGTGTCATTTAGGTGAGTTTGTCTTTTGTTTGCTTAGATATTTAGGTTATATGTTTTTGTTGATTTCTGATTTTTTATTCATAGTGCCTTTGTTATTGTCAACTTCCATGGACTTCATTTTGATTAGGTCATTTTTTGACAACGAAGAAACTCATCAGTTTGTGCAAATGGTCTTACAAGGAATCTTACTCTGATAATCTTAAATAGTTACTCGTGAAGTTCTATGTTCTTTAATTCACTTGAATGCTACTTGAAAAATTACTGAAACAAATTGTTGATTGTACTCGTAATCCGCTGTGAAATATTTAAAAACAATTATTTTTGTTGTATTATTTTACTACTTATTTTATTACTTCAAGTTTTAAACAGCACAAGAATTAATACTCAAACGCGCGTTGTGTCAATGGTATTCAACTTGGAATCACATTAGAAACAAGAAACAATAGCAAATTTGATCAAAAAGAAAATCAATTCCCTCATATTTTTGTCCATGTAATAAGAGCCATATTAAGATCTAAACTTGAAATATATAATTTGTCTGCAAAACATTACTAAATACGCTAGAAAAGCTTCCCACTATTCGCGCGATCTAGTTTAAAAACTAGTTGTAACATACAAGTCCTGCGCGGACATGCCACTCGCACTGCCCATGTTCTGCAGTAAAGCATTTTACGCGCCTGAGCGCTACTCAGCTGCTAGCGTCCAATAGCTTCCATGTCTCAAAATCTCGCATCAGTTCTCGCTGATGGCTTCCTGATGTCCGAACTTTAGCTCTTAAACGGAATGTAAAATTTAGGACAACTTCAGGACCAATGGCGATCAAATTCCATCTCAGATTTGCAGGTGATATATGCAAATTTTAATGACGTGAGTTCCAGCGTCTGTGATGGGTCGACAATATAAATTTGTATATATTAATTAAAATATTAATAACTACGTATGAAGCTTTCAAATTCGACCTTGACTCAAGTCAATCCTAAATCTATTATGTTGTTTAAAACCGATAATCATTATTTGGAAATAAGTTACAGTAATACAGTTCGTAAATGAAGCGTAATTATGAGCATTTGCACTATTAGGTTCTAAAGCAATTGGTGCGATCGTTTTCTGCCAATTTTCAGTCAGAAATTCACAGGATTCGTTTACTAAAATATATAAAGTAATAAGTGCCTTTAATAATAATAATAAATGTTGACGTAGTGCTGAATTTTACCATGAAGCAGCAAAATTTGGTTATAAATTATTTTAGAAAAATAAAGACAGTATTTCCGGCTAAAATACTACTACTACTACTACTACTACTATTACATTTTACATTTTATAAAATTTAAATTATTAGAGACGCAACAGGCTTCATTAAAGCCTCGTTGCAAGCATGCTTGATCCTGCAATAATTGTCAATCTGTTTACTCTTCACTATAGTAACTATAACGCAGTCAAGGAATTCTTATATTTAATCATATTTATTCATATATAGTGAGCTACTGTGCAAACCTCGCTCTACGGCACGTGAAAAAATAACTTCTTAATCAGAATATTTATAGAGTTTGTATTGATTTAACTTTCGGTATTTTGAAACTGATTCTATGGCAACATCGACCCTCCATAAGCTTGAATCTTAATACCTAAGCTTAATAAAGGCAACCCTCGTCTACTACGCAAAAATTAGTATAACATTCCGTGTTTAGTTGAATATCACCAATATTATTGGTTATTCTCCAATTAGGAAATTGGTGTTCCAGTGGGACATAGACGTAATATGTTTATGAAAAGACGGTTCCTGCATATAGATAGCATTCATTCTCAGCTTTAGAGTTCTATATTTACCAGTACAGACAATTCTTTTGAAGAGGCCGCATTTTCAGACTTCACACGCCGGTATTTCTTTATTTGCATTTTCGTTTAAGAGGCAGACCTCTTTTGAGTGGTGGACTGGCAGTTCCACAAACCCTTTGAACTTGAAATTTGAATGCATTCCTGAGTAGAATTATCTCACAGCTTCATAAAATCTTGCCAGGGTAGTGCGAACAGCGAATTCTCCATCCGCCGCTCGCGAATCGTCTCTAATGAAAGCTCCGATTATCATGCAAATTTTTAAATCGGAAGACCAGCCTCGAGATGCAGGATATCAACTTTATAGTTTAGTAACTGCCTAGTATCCTCTTGGCGTTCTGCAAAAGAAAATGACATTTTATCATGCCCATCTGGCATGATGAAGTTCATCCGCCACCTCTGCAGTGTGATACATCAGTGAGTGATGCAGTATTCAGTTAAACATGAGCAAAATCAGTAATCATTCTTGTTCCAATGATAATTCTGGAATATGTAGGAATTTTTTATGATTTTAGAGACCAATAGAAAAATTTCAATTCTAGAAAACTATGCACAACGTACGAATATTATTGGGTTTAATCGTCGGTAGCGAGGAGGCACAAAACAAAGATCGACTCGTCAAAGACTGTAACTGCCACGGACTACGACTGCAGCGTCAATCGGACTCGTCATTATATATGGTGCCAAACGTTCATTTATAAATATAAATGTCATAAAATGTATGATAATAAGATTTTCAGTATGACTCTTGGCACCAGGAGTGAAAAAAACTGTAATGAAGCATCAACAATGCAGCTTTATGCTCAATGAGGAGGTTCTTTAGAAGACATAAACTGCAAATTTCATTCAAAAACTAATACAACGCTTTTAGCAGGCTCGGCAGCGTCGCAAAATTTCTGCCCTGTCGAGCTGCTGATGAACTCTTTCATCTCTTTCATTCAAAGGCTTTGAATTAGCGGTAATATGGCCTGTAAAATTGATGTCTGACCGCGAGCTTTCATTTAAATGAGCTGGGAATACTTGTAGCCGTCTCGTCATTTTTACATCGCGCTATGCATGACACGCATAATAAATGATGGTCGGAGGTTGAGGCTGAGGAAGCATATTTAAAAGCGACGATCTTGTAATACATAAGTAGTTTGTCTCATTTGTTATACGCAGCTTAAAAAAAGGGTTTAAACAGGCCATAATACTGTATTAAATAATACTGCTCGCAATATTAAATGTAACGTTCATCTCAAGCTCAATGAAATTCCTTCGAAAACGCCTAATAATTATTTCGCTTTCGGTGCGAGGTCAGAAGCCTTTATGATAGCTGCAATGAGTAATAAATTATCCAACTGATGAAAAGATCACCATAAATTGTCTAGTTAATTGGAAGGAGCTGAAATAAAAGATTGCAACGCAATCTCATAAGCCCGCATCTGCTCTAGTACATCTCACCCACGCAGCAATCAAAGACGGGGATAGCTTCACCTCCACCGGGAGCCATAAACCACAACAAAAGGCAATCCGCATGAAAATTCCTGATGCTCTCCAATACTGCATGAATAAGCAAGAGCATCTTATATAAACAACTATTCACTCTACGTCTGAGGCGTGAGATAACGCTATCTGTAAACATTTTTTGTCATACTATAGCAGAGATTACAATCAAAATCCTGAGAATAAGATTCTTAAGAAAAAATAATGTGAAATGAGCTATCATTTTACCATGGGAGGATGGCCGAAATAAGAATATGGTTCTCGAGAAAATGCTGTGTGAATGATGCAATTATTTTTATCAGGATCTGTTGTCGTAATACTGATATGATTTTAAACTAGAAAACAAGGTAAGATAGAGGCAATAATTTTCAGTTAGAGTAGGAGTAGATGTAACCGTGATGGATGGCTGTGATTTGACTGCTATAATGAGATAAAGAAAGGAACCGTTAGAGTGGATGGCGTAACTGCAGTGCACCGAAGACTGAAGCTTGAATGTACGAGAGCTTGTTTTCTTCTTGTCTTTTAATATGATAATTAACGTTTACAATAATTATTGTAGTTTTGAGGAAAGACTGAAAGGTGTTGTTTCATATTAGAAAATCTGTACCTTATTATGGAAATTTATTACAAATACTGTTCAAAAGTGTAACTATAGTTAAACTAGGGAGCTCAAAAAACTGTTGAATATTCGTTGAATTATTTCTAAAACTGCAACGCTATACAAATATCGCAATATAAAGCGAGTCTCACTTAGGAAGTGAGTGATATGTTGTCCTGCATTTAATAATAAAATTATAACAATAAGTCCGAACAAGAGCTTCACGTATTCCTCATGAGAACTTATTACAAACTAAGCAACTTCTGGCGAGTTGGCTGCCATGGAAATTTTCAAGGATCCCGTCTTACCTCGTGTCGGGAAAATGATTGCCCAGCAACTAATTTTCAACACCAAGCTGGAACATTGCTTGCTAAAGATTTTCCGAAGAAGCCGAAATGTGTTGAAAAGTTAATTTAACTCAGCATTTTTTATTTATTTTGATAACGCAGCCAAAATTTCATTATAAATATTAACACAATTAAATATTTTTTATTTCTCTGCTTCATGATATACGTTAAAATTCAAATTGCCAAAACTGGAATGCCATAATTCTAGTGAAAATAACGAGTCAAACATAATAATATCTTTGTGTGGTCATTTCATGTACAGACTGGTTTTAGAGTCTGAATTGGGCCCTCATTAAGGCATGCAGGGCGGCTGGTCCAGGTCTTGATTTGCTCATTACGCTTTCTATTAGCAGACCAAAGACTTCATCGTAAGCAACTTGGAGTTTTTCAGCCAGGTGGAAGTGTTCATAGTAAAGAAATTTAAGTTTAAAAAGAGACCTAATTTGTATGATTGAAGCGTCCTCGTTGTTGTTTTTCCTGCCACACTCTATATAAGTTCGCCTGGACGATATAGTTGGACTGCTCCTGATTAGCCCAAACAGAATTGTAACGATTGCAGCTGCTAATGTCATTTGCAGTTCACTTTAAACTTATTCGCAATTCATAATTGATGTAACTAATACTTTTAGTGTTGGATCTCTTTCTGGTGAATTTTTTATGTTTCGGGAGACATGACGCCATCAGAGATTTATTATCAATTTAATTTAAAGTTTTGGGGCACTAATTAGCTGAATTCGTGACGGTTTTTCAGTTTTTTTTATTCTCTGGAAAAGAGCAGCAGTTAATTCCAGATGCTGCCATCACATGTTGGAATTCTACTTCAACTTTTATTTATCATTTATTTTACATTTCTTTATGACAAAATTCTTTTCACTTTGCTAATGTTGACTTAATTTCAAGGCTTTCAAATATTCGCCAAAATTCACTGTAAAATATGCAATTTCAGTTTAAATTCATAAAAATTTCTGCAGGGGAGGCCAGTGGACCACCCTACCCGCCCGGCACGTGCCCGCAATGCCCCTACTTCCTGCCCACGCCCCTGAATGCCTCCACTTCTGTGGGGGCAGCTGTCAACCTCACCTGTGGCATCAGGCACCTCGGCGACAGCAAGGTCACTGCCAACTGCTGCCTCACTCACTGCCGCCTTACTCACTGCCTCCTCACTCACTGCCGCCTTACTCACTGCCGCCTCACTCACTGCCGCCTTACTCACTGCCGCCTCACTCACTGCCTCCTCACTCACTGCCGCCTCACTCACTGCCCCCGCACTCACTGCCGCCTCACTCGCTGCCGGCTCACTCACTCCTTTGTCGACCGCGCCTGGTATTTGAGGCAGAAAAAACGTTGATTGAACTTAGTAACAAAATCAACTGATATTCAACGTCACTTGCCCGGAGAGGAGCATCTCTCTGCGGCTGGTGCCATGCCAACCATCGTGTGCCTAAATACTTTGTATTACATTGAACGTTGGCAAAAAATTTGCCCCCAATCTCGCAACTCTTGTTGTCAGCTGGCATTCAAAACATATCATGATCTCTTACGTTACCGATCATATTAGTTACTGCTTGTGTCTTTTCAGATATTTTTTATGGCTCATCAACTGTAAATCTACAGAGTGGACGTTTTAAGCATGTTAAATTTCAGTTGGCTCGAGTACAGCAATTCTTGAAAAAATTATTTTTTTCAATAATAAAATTAACTATCATGATGACCCCATAACGATAATGATTTGCTTAGTTTTGATTGCAGGATGAAACAATTAATTCTACATCATTGAAGCCCTCAAACCACTAACACAACTTTCTGAGTTTCACAGAGGTCCATCATTATTAATAAATTCAAAGCTAAACCCAACAATAAGCTTGAAAGACTTATCATCGAGGTGGAATGGGCTCGTGACGCTATACTGCATCAAACATCAATTAAGTTTAGCATCAGCGATCGGCTTTCCCTCATTCACATCGTCAGTGAAACACCTCGGCAATTCCCTGTAAGTCATCTATGCCTGATTTCAACAATGTCTCGAAGATAAACGGACAGGGAATGGCCAAGCGAATGAAGCTAGAAACATAAACCGAACTAATCAGATAATTAAAATCCTTGAACGTTTGGCTGAAGGCCTCTAGCAAAGAAAAATGTTTGCTTCGAATTCAAGTTGTCACTAAATGGCAAGCGAATGTATCAAGAAAGTGTAAAAAATTTATCAGAATATAAAAAATATTCCTGAACCGCAGGCAGTATACAACTACCAATATATAAAAGTTTGCCTTGAATTTCGTCTTTTTTAGATATATAAAAGACCGAATTAATAAGATTATTTATTTCTTTATTCGTTTATTGGTAATAATTAATTACTAATATTTCACTGATTTATTTTCAGTATTAATATAACTTATTATTTATATTATTTACAACGAAATTTTTTTTAAATTACCCTGGCTGCGCTCATGTGCCTCAGGTATCATGGATACGGCGGGACGACCTGCACGTTCTCACCACGGAGCTCATGACCTACACCAGCGATAAGCGGTTCAGAGCTGCGCACGTCAGAGGTGAACAAACGAACCTTATTGAAAACACCATGCAATATCAACATATTTATTTGCATCGTAGGAAATGTTGGTTGTTATGCTCGACAGGACGACACATGCCTCGATTATTGTAGGAGTCCAAAAGTTTTGGTTGCCGTGTAGCGTTTCAGAGCGATCAGCTGTACTACCCCATGTTCAGATTTGGCATGGACTGTAAACAAGCTAAGGTCCTTCGAAATAGCAAATTTGAAAAATTATAATTTTTTTACCTAAGTAAGGTAAATAAATAACTATTTTTACTTATAATTCCTGATGAATAACATAATTTAATTTGGTTCTATGCGTGCGAAAAGCTAATTTCAATGAAGATAGAAATTACGAAAGATATTTTGACAATTTTTCCGAATGTTAATTAAAACCTGTATTGATCGATTGGCATGACCTTAATCTCGATATCAGCGAGAAAAAATTACCCATTTGTTACTGACTGATCCTGAAAATTAAGTCTCAAAAATCTTTGAACCAACATTGTAACTCTTCCTTCGATTTCTGCCAAGGTTCTCCTTTCTGGACGCTAGAAGTGAACAACCCGCTGGTGAACGACTCCGGGGTGTACGAGTGTCAGGTGTCCTCGCAAAATAAAATATACAGGAGAATCACACTCAATGTTACAGGTAAATATATATGCTGCTTGTCGTCCTGAGTCTGGGGCAAATTGAGGCATTCTCATCTTTATTGTCATCTTATGTTTCTGATGAATAGTTCTCGTTTCCATGTGTACCTCGCCAAGAATTTCTTTTCGGTGATAATGATCTTTCAATGCAGTAATTATTTACTGAACATGACACACGTCCTATGTTTTTACCCTCCGTATTGAGTTGAGCAATGAACTTGTTTCACTATTCAGTGATGAATGACAATATGGCTTCTCTAGAATAAAAAGTCAACCACTTGAATGTTAATATGCAAATTCATATCATACGTCACGCGCTTCTACGCAGAGGAGAGGCGAAATATGAGCATTATGTTTACGTTACAACTGACTCATTTCTAATAATTAAAAATAATTATCTTTGATTGTAGCGTACATAATGGCAATAATACAGAATTGTCACATTTTCCACTGTTAATCACTCATGAGTTTTACAAATTGAATCAGAAAAACATTCTGGAACGACTTGTAAAGCTTTGATATTATTTTCTAAATTATCGCACAACAGAATGATGCATTCTAGACCAAACTGTTTTGTTTTTATCGAATGATGCTCAGTTAAGAACATTGACGAACTACTAGAAATTAATATATTTTAGCCACTAGAATTAAATTATTCGAATATTCCGTGTCGGAGATATCGGGTAATAACATGTACACGTGGTACCACACAGTGCCAGTCTCACACATCCTCGGCAGTCACGAGGTGTACCTGAAGGCTGGTAGTGACATGAACATCACGTGCGTGCTAGAGGGGCACAAGCGACCTACCCACGTCACGTGGTATCACGTCGGCAATGGCTCAGGTGGGCAAAAGTTATTTTACTGCTTACTTTCTGTCCTGTGATGTATAGAAATTAATTCATCGTAAAAAGCCAGAATAATTTACGTTGTAGTTTAATCAAATTGAAACATGATTGTTTATCATTTTAAATTTGTACCATGAGAAATTAGTGCGACGTTGTCAGAAAAGTGATGCATTTTTTGCGAAAGTGTGGGTTATCCTGACCCAGTTTGGCCTGACATGGAGGCGAGCTAGAAGTGGGGCAGAGCATATGTTACAATTTGGACTTGTTCATTTTACTGAATGAATAGTGGAGTTGAATACAGAATTCATTGCATCAAGAGACTCAACAGCTCACAAATTCGTCTCTGTTGATCACAGACGAGGTTCGTGAAGTGAACGCAGGCGGGCGGGGCGGCATTCAGGTGGTGACGGACAGACGGACAGGCACCAGCTGGGTGACGGTGGCTCAGACCACCTATCGAGACGCTGGCAATTACACGTGCGCTCCTGAGTTCTCGACGCCTTCACACGTGCAAGTCCACGTGCTGCACGGTCAGGCTCATAGACTTGTGTCCTCTGTTGTTCGTGCCATTTAACCCTCTACCACCGTTTGTCACTCTTCGGAAACATAACTTTCAACATAAATTATCCGTAAACTATTGAGTGTAGCAACCTGATGACGTTTGTACGCAACAGAGAACATTTTAAAGTTGTCTTACGTGGCGGCAACCATCAGTGCAAGTCATTTTGCGCTCACTCGCAACGTATATTTTTGGGAAGTGGGCTTGTGACAATAATGCTCCGGTTACTCATGTCAGGCGGTAGAGGGTTAAAACTGTCTAGATTTGTATCTATTATCAATTAATTACCGCCAATAGAGACTATTTTACGATTACCTTTGCAGCTGACAAATGTATCCGTATCTAATAAATCGCTTTCAACTATTTCTATTATATTTTATATGATTCATTTTTTCGCAACTTTTCATATCTATTCCTTTAAATCTGATAACATGGCTTATGATAACAACCATTATTTATTTATTTGAATATGTGTTTCGCAGCAGAAGAAGAGACCGCGGTGATGATGAAGTCGTTACGCAGTTATAATGAATATTAAAATAATAAACCTATCAAGCAACACTTTTTAATAGATTTATTCCTTCAAAGCTTATATTTGGTTTAAAAAAACTGTATTACATATTTGTTTTAATGTGCGTTGCATTGCAGGTAGCATAAATGATTAAGTCGTTGCACTATAATAATGAATAATAGAATACTAAAGTATTCTAATGACTATTATTTTCTTATGACAACAGACGAAGAGACAGCGGCCATGCAGCCCCACCTACAAGGCACTAACAGCAGCGGTGCAGTGCAGAGTTCCGCAGCAGCGCCTGGAGCGTTCAGAAAAACATCTGCGTTAATTATCAGCTTATCTTTATCGGAAATTATTAACTGCTTGTGGTGACATCAGGTTATTCTTCGACGTGAGTCACATTCAAGAATAACCTGAATTTATTCGAAAAGAAAACTTGTTTATTTATTCTCCTGTCATATTTGTAATAAATTTTTTATCGAATGCCTATTGATACCCATTACTGAAAAAAATTTTCCATTGCAATGCACAGCTGCCTCATGAGGAAAATAAGTAATTTAATAGATTATATGTATTCATCGTCTAAACTTGATACATTTCTATTTTTACTCCTGATCGTTTCTTTCAATTTGTTGGCCGACCAAAATTCTTACAGAAAAATATCCATGTGAAGTTTAGTAGCGCTTCGCAATGTTATATTACGGAGCACCATTATATTATATTCATTATATTTTTACTGTTCATCCAACAATCATTCGGTAAAACTGCAGTTATACCTGCCAAGTTAGAAAAATTGATTTTGCTTTTTCCTTAAATTGTAAACGCCCATTATGATTTAATCCTCATTGTGTGCATTATTGTTGCCTGGAACATTATAATATAAACGCTCGTTAAGATGCAATTATTGGACAGTAATAAGAAAACATTTAAATTTTAAGTAATAGTTGAATTGTTTTACCAACGTTGTTACACAGCGCAGGTTATAGGGCCGTACTAACATAAGTCGCTCAAGTAGACGTGGCGGCCGATTTCTCGTCTGTAATTGGTGGGTTAAGCCTGAAAAGCTATCAGTAATTAGCTGGTGGAGTTACCAACTCGTGTAATTTTCATATTACGACCCTTGACGTTGAGCGAACGTGCGCCGCGCAATGAAAGAAATCTTCAACGCCTGTCCGAGAAGCGCGGCATCGCACACACTACACTCTTTACCCAGCGATATTGCCTGCCTGCAAGAGTCAGAGGAGAGAGATTCCGTCAAAAATATTCCCAGAAATCTCCAGGACCGAGACAAAGGCTCATAAAAATGTAATCTGCAGCGTGTCGATGGCTGCAGAAATGCGGCAATGTTTGCTGCGTGTGGGGCACCTGCGAGCTTTTGCCATCACTGGTCCCTCAGTTGGGAGCAGTTCCACACCACCATGAATAATTCATGCGGCATATATGCGGAACAATAGCACAACTACGTACGTAATTATTTTCGTCATGATACATTCATTTTTATCTCAACATCTGCCTTAGCCAAGGCGCGGAGGTCTTATATAACTCTTCGTATTTTATCTCTTATTTTTATCGGCATTTTTTTACTCTTTTGACTATTTTCTGCCATAATTTTCTGGTTTATTTTAAATGAAGTTTTTATTATTGTTATTGCGTAATACAAAATAATTGGGTTGAAAAGGCTTTTCCGAGGTGTGAATTATGAGGTAATATTTTCGCAGCATAACACCGTTTTTCAGGTTCTCTCCAAAATAAATTTCCTGCATTAGAGGCGAGGGTGGCTATTAGCCTGAGATAATCATGTTAATGGCCTCGTTCGTCAAAACATTAAGGCTGGCCTTTTTTTCTTATTAAAGCTACATGAGCGGAGATCTACAACCATCATCAATGCACTTGCACAGTCTACAGGCGTGCATTTAAATCAATACGACTGCACTTGTATTTTGTGACTCATATTTCACTACATTGCTGATTTAAGGTTTATTTATGAAAAATTTTTATAGCGGGAATAATCTCGTATTATTTTTATATAATTTATTTAGATTGGACTTTGATTTCTTCGAACCAAGAGCCCAGTCTCAACAAGCTTGATTGCATGAACAAAAGCATGAGGACATTCACAAACAAGTGTGATGGATAACATACATAGAAATAACGAACTCTGCTCATTGGATATTTCAAACTGTTAGGCTCGGTGGTGCTTTAATTATATTTCTGAACAGTCACTCATAACAGAAAAGTGCCAAAAAATGTCAGCCAAATTGTTACATGCGTATATTTCGAATTTAGGCTGGGCACGACCAAACTTTATTTTAGTAGTTCACGCACAACTCAGGGTAACGAATTTAAACCAAAACCTTCATAGACCTGAAAATGAAATCTTCGCAGCTAAACGCCTGTATTTCTCAGATATCTGAAAATTACTGAAAATAAAGAGTGGGTTGAGTTATAAGATTAGTTTGTCAATCTGAAATGCATCCCATCAAGAGATCGCCATTGGAGCTGAGTTCCTCGTCCTGCAAGAAAGTCTGTTCGTGCCGACGTTGTCCATCTCGCACGTCTCTGCTTAGCTAGCTACTTTTAAATTCCATCAGCCCTTTACTTAAAATTCATAGTACAAATCTTTCGCGTGCGTCTTTTGTTAACTAAACTTCTCAATGAGAGAAGTTTAGAATGAGAAAAGATGTCCATTGTGTATATTCTAAAGAATGCGTGAGCTTAGTCGAAATTTTGAGCCCAGCCTCTCACGACCTGTGCTGCAATTTTGCTTCAAGTTAGAATTCATACAAAATGCACCTTGTTATATGAAATGAATGAAGCCCTTGACACGCTAGTGTCAAGCAGAGGATTTCAGGAGACTTAGAGATATGATGTAAAAATTTCGAGAACTATATTATTTCTTCGGATTGGAGGAATTACAGTATCTTTCTCGGATTCGTCGATTGTCGGATTTAGCAAACGAAAACTGTCCTCTAAATCTCAATTTTTTCATCCAGCTTCTAGATAAAAAAAAAACTTTAAAAATCCTTCCATGTGCATAATTCGGTGCAATGTTTCCAATTTCAATTAATCCAGCTATGAAAACTTCTTGGAAATGTGAAGCAGATGATATCCTCTCATCTTAATTATTTACCCGTGCATGTGATGCAAGATGAAAAATTATTAACGTTGAGATAAATGACGGCATCCATAAAAGGTTTTATAACAAATTAATCACATAAAAAAGTTGCATCTAAACGAGTAAACTTTAAACTATTATACACATTTTATATATTTTGCCAATAAATATTAGCATGTTAAACTTGCTAAATTCACTCCGGAAAGTTTCTCGTTCAGAAATATTTTCTAGAAATGATATCACTTCGAGATCTGTTCGTATCTAATCTACGAAGATCTGGGATGAGTGAGGGCTTAAACACGGAGCCATCCAGGGATAATAACGAGGGCACTCACGAGGGCGGGATCAGCTTTTACTGCCCGAGTAGCCCTCGCTGAGACGTCGCCTGCATTATTAGTGACATGCAAACTTTTTCCCAACATAAAATGACCGACTTGATTCACTGCCTATGCATTTTATAGATCGAACTACGTTGAAAAATGAGTGGTAAATGCGCCAAGTTGAATGTGCATCATCATACCATGCACTGCAGCAGCTTTAATGAATATTCAACAATCTCGTGGATAAAGTATTGTTTATCACTCACCACGAACAGTCTTCCTAGTTTAACGAGAATTTTTCACAAATTCTGTGACACAATATGAATAAAAATATGTCTGTCATTATTTTGTTCTCAATTCATAATAAGACTTATTTACGTTCGATTTGGGAAAATTGGTCTAGGTTTGATATCAAAAGAACTGAAAATCCTGGAAAGAAGCGCAGATGAAATCTTCTACCTGGCAGCAAGCCTCAGTAATTCCGACGTACGGAAATAAGAACACAATGACATACACTCATGACAGTCACTGAAGCGTTCTGCAGGCCTACTAATAGCTCATTACTATGTACAGTGTCTTCTTAAACGACGTTGAGTTCTGCACTCTCTCTAAAGAGTTCTGCACTCTAGCACGACCGTCTGTTGCTGATTAGTGCAAGAGTTCTGCTTTCTAGCACGACCGTCTGCTGCTGATTAGTGCAAGAGTTCTGCCTCCCATCACGGCCGTCTGCTGCCTGAAATGAAGCGCTCAAATATGAGCTTCAGAATAACGCTGCCCTCGAGACGATAGTGAGCTGCAATCTCTGCAGCAATCAGAAATGCGTGTGAGAAGCTTGAGCTGCGCGAAGCTTGAGAATGAGTCATATTATGCGATATTGTGATGAGTCACATTATGCGATGTATGTTGAGAATGAGTCATATTATGCGATATTGTGATGAGTCACATTATGCGATGAGTGTTGAGAATGAATCATATTATGCGATATTGTGATGAGTCATATTATGCGATGAGTGTTGAGAATGAGTCATATTATGCGATATTGTGTTGAGCCATATTATGCGATGAGTGTTGAGAATGAGTCATATTTTGCGATTTAATCTCGGGTATAGTGACAAATGAAAAACAATCTTGTCTTGATAAACTTATGTAGTGGCTGGTTTCAGTGAAATAGCAGGAAAATAATGGTTCCCTGCAAACTAAATTGTACAAGCATCTGCTGGCATCCGTTTAATTTTCCAGCATATGAGAAAAAATGTCTTATCGACAATGTCACTTTTGATATATAAAAATCCGAAAAATGTTAAAAGCGGATGCCTTCACTTTCTTTTTTTATTTCCTTCAAGATTACAATCCAAACACTTGCTTCTTGGCCCCAAGGATTCACTAATTTCGTGAAGACTTTGCATTTTGATGCTAAATGAATGAAAAATCCATCATTTCATAATCATGTGGGGAATTATTCAATCTTTTCGCGCTTTTGTGAATGCAATGATCGAAACGTGCAAATAATTTGTTAAGACAACAGAACACTGGCATTTGATTGCCTGTATCTGTGACACATGCCTTAAATGCTGGCGCATTTAAATTTTTATTTATTGGTCTTTCGAATTCCATATCCTCTTATCCTCTCCTGTATTCCATATTCTCGTCCTGTATCTTAATTGTCTGCCAAATTTCGAACAAAAATTTTAGTGCGGCATCGACCCCTAAGTTATAAGTTTTCAAAATTTAGAGCGTACTGAAGTGTATATGAGCAAGCAAATTCATTGCATTCCATACACTTTATAGTTTTGAATTTTCTATTTTTCGTTTCCTAAGTTAACGAAATGCAGTTTAATATTAGCTTGATATTCAAGAAAGCTGAAGGGGGCACAGATAAAAAAAAGTCGAATTCAATCGGTAAATGAACTAACCACCCGTCCTATATTGAACCAAGAGAACCTCTAAGAATCTGTTTCATTTGCTGTAAACATTAGGAACAAAACGAGACAACAATTAGCTCTTAGCCAACTA